AAATCAAAGGGCTTACTTATATGAAGAGCATATTTAGTGGAATCGGGATAATAGGAACGCCAGATTCATCTGTCCCTACATTAAGGATAACCTTTCCAATGGGACCACAAGGCTTGAAATCTCTTGGATGAGCACTGCCTCTCATTGACCCCAGGAATTTCCTTTCATTCTCCATTGCTGACCAACCACTTTGTGACTGACATTTTTTTTCTTTAAATAGATTTAAGACTATATTTTTTAAAATGTCTGGTCTAACTAAGGTTTAACCCATTTTTTTCGTTTAAGTGCCTTAATTTTTTTCCTCCAAACCATTATGTGTTGTTTTTATTGTGTCAGGAGCCAATTTTCCTCTTTTTTACATTTATGATAGTCCTTTCTATTAAGCTACATTTCTGATTAGAGCTCCTTCATTGGAATATGCCTTATATTGCTCTCTATGATTTTCATATTTTTTTTTATTGTGGCAACATTGGTTTATAACATCATGTAAATTTCAGGTGTACATCAGTATATTTTGATTCTGGTGTAGATTACGTCGTGTTCACCACCTACAGACTAATTACAACCCATCACCACACACATGTGCCACACAACCTTTTGCTCTCCTTCCTCTCTAGTAACCACCAATCCAGTCTCTGTTTCTATCTGCTTGTTTGTCTTTGTTTTTATCTTCTACTTATGAGTGAGATCATATGGCATTTGACTTTCTCCCTCTGACTTATTTCACTTAGCATAATACCCTCAAGGTCCATCCCTGTAGTGATAAGAAACGAAATCCAGCCATTTGTGACAAGAAATGATGAAATCTGGCCATTTCCATGTTTTTATTTGTCTGTTTCCTTTTAATCTTAGACTTTAATTAATCATGCTCCTCTGCATTTTATTTTATATTCCTCTGTGCTTTATTTTCCTCATTCCCTGAAAAGCCACCTGTAGTCTGTCATAATCACTGATTCCACTAAATTTCCCTCCCCAACCCATAATTGTGTGTTTGATTTGTCCTTAAAAATACATGAACCCTTGTAAAATATGTATTTTAATTTTGTATATAAATTTTATTGTGCTATAAATCACAATATTGTTTACTTTTTCCACAGTTTTTCAGAGATCTATTTAGGTTGCTGTATGGACATCTAGTTCATTTGCTTCTCGCTTCTGCAATTTTTTTGTAATGCACGTTCACATGTGGTAGAACCATTCTCCTGATGATGGATATCCAGGTTGCCTCCAACCTCCATTTGCCACAAACAATGCAATGATAACCATCCTCATGCTTGTCCCCTTATAGTCCTGAGCAAGAACTTATCTAGGACATACTCCCAGAACTGGAATCACTGGGTTCTACCCAATTTTAATACAGCCAAGGAGTTTTCCAGTATACCAGTGCACACTCCAACCAGAATTCTACCTCCCCACATGCTTACCAACATTTGGTATCATCTACTTTTCTAATGAAGATGATGATATCTCGTGGCTATTTTAATGAGTATTTTTTTTATTTTGAACATTTAATGAGCATTTTTCAGATTTTTTAAGTGTGAGAATCTCTCCATATACTTGTCAGCCATTTAGGAAAACCCTACTATGAATCACTGATTCATATCCTCTGACCCACTTTCTATTGTTTTAAATCGTCATGTCTTAAAATTTTTTTTCCTCCAAGTTGACAAGGTTTTCTATATTGTCTTTTATTAATTATATAATTTCCTTTTTTCACATGTAAATTGTTAATCCATTTTGTTTATCCCTTTATGTATGGTAATCTAAGGATCTAATATTATCTTTTTTTTCATGTATAAAGACACTTTCCTAACATGCTCTACTAAGCTGTCATTTCCACATTGCTCTGGGGTGATATAATTTTACGATATATCAAATTACCATATAAACATGTGTCTATATCTGAGATCTCTTTTCTTTTCCATTGGACTATTTAAACTTCCCTGAACCATTATCATAATAATTTTATTACTGTCATTTTGTGGCTGTTTCAAATATGGATGCTTCTCTTATTTTAGTTTTATAAAATTAACCATGCAAGTTGCGTACTTTCATTCTTCCATATAAACTTTAGATGAGTACTCATATTCATTTAAAAAATCCAAATAAAAATTTTAATTTATTTAGTTGAATTATTGAGTTATTTAGGGGAAAAATGGCAGCCTTATATTTTTATCCCATCTATTTGTATGTTGTACCTTTTAAATTACTGATATTCTGTTAAGCTGCTTATTTTAATTTTTAAATGATTTCTGTAAAGGTCTCATGCATGCTTTGTTAGGATAAAACTCAGAGACATTTTATTTTTGTTATATTTATTTCTATTACGTTTGCTAATCATTTATTGCTAATATAAAGAGAACTATTGATTTTCCCTTGATCTTACATCCAAAAGTCTTACTAATTTTTCTCATCAGGTCTTATAAATTTTTCAGTCTCTTTCTATTGCTACTTCTGCCATTTTCTTGTGTTATGCTTTTGACCAGGACTACCAAGTCAATGTCAAACCGTAGCTGTAAGAGTGGGCATCCTTATCTTAGTCTAGATCTTAATGAGAATGTATATACTTTCTCTATTAATTATTAGTGAATAGTAATTTGCTATAGGTTTTTGGTATATAGTTTCCTTTCAAGATTAGGAAGTTATCTTCACTTTGTGGACATCAAATAGGTTATATTAAAATTATGAATTGACCTTCACCAAATTTATTTCCTACATCTCTTAAAATAATTAATTTTTATTTTCTTGCTTTACTGGTGATGTTTACCAAATGTTTACAGAAGGATAATCCATATGTTATACAATAATAGCTATTACGTCCTTGGATTGTTATGAATAAAAGCATTTAAAATATACCCGGCATACAGTAATCAATACATATATTGCTATTATTATGGTTGCTAATAAAATTATTAAAAATGCATATTATTAATATTATTTCTTACTTATTGTATTGGTGGTTTTCAAACTGTATCACTTGGAATCCTCTAACAACTGAATTGAGGGAGGAAGAGTGAATAAGGTGCTAAAGGGAAATGCTTTTTCCTTCCCTGCAAACCCGGGTAACTTCAACCAGAGAAACTGTCTTTTTGTTTGTTTTATATATTATGCTTCTGTGTAAATTTTATTGGCTAAAAAACAGTGGTTGAATATCACTGGTTTAGTTAAATGCATACATTTTGAATAAAAGCACTGTTATTACAGTTGGCCCCTAAATGATAATTCTTGCATGAGGTGAAAATAAACAAATTAGGTGTATCCTACAATACACAACATTACATCTCTCTATTCATGATAAAAATAGCTTTGTAAATACTTTCAAGTCATTTCTGTTAAAAAAGCACATTTATTAAATACCTACTGCCTCATTGTATTGATAAACAAATGGCAAGCAATAGGATATACTGGAGTATACAAGGAAGCCATTTGGTGTAAACCTAATTCGGCCTGACCTTGTTTTTCCAAAAGGGTCTAACGTGCATTGTATATTTGCATTGATATAGATTATGCATTGTATATCTTCTTGAAGCATTTACTATGTCCCAAAGACAAGAACAAATGGCCTTAAGATAAAGATGCAACGTCCCCCACACTGGCTTTTCTTTAAGAATAAGCATCTCTCCCTAGGCTAGGAAATGATTGCTGAGCCCATCCTGTGACCACCCAGCTTGAGACAACAGATGGGCTACCTGTTGTGTCCACTGAGACAGCAGATCTACTACCTGCTATGTCCATCAATCACTGTGCCGACAGGGCAATCTCGTGACTATTGTAAAAGGGACATTTGAATCATATGTGATACATGCCCTTTGACAGTATATAACCCCTCTGTACACCCCCACTTCTTTGGTGCCCTTCTTTCCTTGGGGAAGGAAGGCCCAAGGCTAGGTTAGTCCACAGATCTGTCTCATAATAAACTCATCCCAATTTTGATTTATAGATTCATTATGGATTATTTTTGTCGACAATATTGAGGTAGATGCTGGAGTAATATAAAGATATGTCCCGGCAGTGAGGCTACTGTCCTCAATGAGGCTATATGCAAATAGGTAATGACTGCATATACCACCAGCAGACCACACTGAGCTCCAAAAAGAGACTCAACCACACAGACTGTCTTATGACTTGTTGGGTGCTAGACATTTTTGCCTTCATGGGCCCTTTCTTCCAATAAATAATGTTAAAAGTTATATTTTACATCTGCATTGGTATAAAGACATATATGTTAATATTATGTATCAAAACTTAAAAATTCATTGTTTTAATTGTATTTTAAAAGAAATAAAAACATTTTCGTAGGCTCCTAACAGTATAGTAGGCTTACTGGGACTAGTGGATGTCAGCCCTACAGCCAGGGATGAAGAATTCACATACATACACAATTCTGTCAGGTAATATAAATGATGCAAAGTAACTGAGAAAAACATGTTAACTGGCAACTAATATTCATGCCCAGTGACAAGGAGATAAGAGAGAGAGGAGGGCACTCTGGTAGAATGGAGAACATGCTTCAAATTCAATGGGTCACTGGTAACTGAGCTCCATGATGGACATGGGTCCAATGTTTTCAAATATTGTAATTTATTTGAAGACAAGGTGAAAGTATAGATTTTTATCCCATTTCTCCTGTTTCTGAAATGTTGACCTCTAATTCAAATTTAAAATATGGTGCAGGAGTCACTGCCAAACAAAGCCCATCTTTCTGCTGCCTCCAGGCTCTGGGGCACTGATTTGCAGTCAATGTGTTAAGAGGCAGAACTAGTAGGAATGGTAATAAACTGGTTTAGGATCCAAATGTCCTATAATCAAATATCTTCTCTCTTAACCCTGAGAAAATCAGGTTAGGATTCCTGCTCTTCTGGCCTGGATTCACAGTAAAAAATTTGTCTCAGAGTTGTATTGTTGCATCCAAATAGAGAACTACAGTAACACAGAAGATAATTCTTAAAAATGAGATCTTGAGACACCATATTAACAAATTTCTGTTCTATCATCTGCAGAGTGCTGTTGGAGAAAGGACGTATGCAATATGGGGAGGACCAATGACTCCATGTTGACAGAATTTCTCCTGGTTGGGCTTTCTGCCCACCCAAAGCTCCAGACAGTTTTCTTCGCACTAGTTTTGTGGATGTACCTGATGATCCTGCTGGGAAATGGAATCCTCATCTCAGTAATCATCTATGATTCTCACTTGCACACCCCCATGTATTTCTTCCTCTGTAATCTTTCCTTCCTGGACATTTGCTACACAAGTTCCTCTGTCCCACTAATTCTTGACAGCTTCCTGACAGTAAGGAAAAGAGTTTCCTTTTCTGGGTGCATGATGCAAATGTTTCTCTCCTTTGCCCTGGGGGCCACAGAGTGCGTGCTTCTAGGCATGATGGCACTTGACCGCTATGTGGCCATCTGCTACCCACTGAGATACCCTGCCATCATGAGGAAAGGTGCCTACGTGCCCATGGCAGCTGGATCCTGGGTTTCTGGGCTTGTGGATTCAGTGGTACAGACATCTCTCGCAATGCAATTACCATTCTGTGCTAACAATGTCATTAACCACTTTGTCTGTGAAATTCTGGCTATCCTAAAACTGGCCTGTGCTGATATTGCAATCAATGTGATCAGCATGGCAGTGTCAAATCTGGTTGTTCTGGTTATTCCATTGCTGGTAATTTCCATCTCTTACATTTTTATTATTGCTACTATTCTTAGGATCCCTTCCACTGAAGGAAAACGTAAAGCATTCTCCACCTGCTCAGCCCACTCGACAGTGGTGATTATTTTCTATGGAACCATCTTCTTCATGTACGCAAAGCCCAAGTCTAAAAGCTCTGTTGGTCCAGTTAATCAAGACGTTGTTGAGGCCCTCATCTCCCTCTTGTATGGAGTGATGACCCCCATGCTCAATCCTCTCATCTATAGTCTGAGGAACAAGGATGTGAAGACTGCTGTGAAGACCATGCTGGGTAGGAAAAACTCAGATGGAGTATGAATACTGATTTACACTAGGTGACTCAGTATAAAAAGTTTCTGCAGACATGAAATTCAAATAGAGAAAATCACCATACAAAAACAAATTCACCATGTGTCACTCAAAACTATATACAGAAATATTTTGGTGGTGGTTGTTACTATTAGTTTTGTTCTAATTGCAGAAATAAAACATGCTCATGATTTAAAAAAATACTATTATGGAAATGTAAAAAATTGAAAATTTCTTAGGAAGTCACAGCAAAGCATAAGCACGCTTAAACCTTTAGAAAATAATAAAGGCAAATGGTGTTCCAAAAAGCACTTTGTCACCTAAAATAAGTACATTATTAATAAATCATTCAAAGCTATTATTGATCTGCATATGACATACTGTATATTCATTTTTAACTTGTTCTTTTATTTACTGTTTGTGTTCACCACACGCATAAGCGCTGTGGGAGCAGACTTGTGTATTTATTACCTTACAACGTCCCAAAGTTCTAGAATAGAAGATGACACATAGTAGATGCTGAATAAATATATTTTGAACAAATAAATGAACTTCAGTATCTATAAAAGTAGAAATGTATGTCTATCATATCTGAGGTAACAAAGATTATTCAAAAAGAAATTTGATTCAATGTAATATTTTCTAAGTAAACTACATAAGCATTTTGTGATATGAGCTCCCCTAATAAAGTACTTATCTTTTCTTTTTTTATGTGATGTGTGTTATATTGTAGAGGAACAGCTGCCACAATTTTCCTGGATTTCGTACATAATGTGACTACGGTAGCTGAAAAGTGCCCTAGTCATGCACCCTAAGTTTTAACCTAATAAAATGGTGGTGGCATGGTAACAGAGAACTCCTCTAGAACTTTGAGATCAGGTTGGAATGAGGACATCTTTCCTGATTTGGACCATACATCTCCTAATCAGTAGGAGAACTAAACAGAACTGGTAACTGAGAAAAGTTGCAATCAGAGGATAAGAAGTGGCAAAAGAGAAAGAGTCAAGTTGTTCAGTGAACTGAGGAGCTTCAGGGTTTGGAGCCCTGGGGGACAAGACAAAGATGGCACAAAACTGAGATGATCTCTATTGTGTGAAGAGTGTAGCCATGTGGAGCAGCGTCAACATGAGGAATAGAAGCCCCATTTCCATTGAAGGAACTTAGTTAGATATGTGAATAGAGGGAAGCATTCCTTTTTTCCAGCCCTTTGAGGAGTCTACGAGAGTTGAAATATAGAACACAAATCTAAAGTAAAACAACACAGCTGCTTCCAAATTGTAAAAGTAAGCCCATAATATCTTCCTTTCTTGTTAACAGGTAATTATGGTTTCTTCATAAGATTAAAAAAGTTAACTCATCCATAGCACTAAATAGTGCCGAGGACATCCTAAATGTCCAATAAACATTGGTTGTTTTTTTATTATTAACATTAGGTGTACTTTAATAGGTCATGATACTTGGAGTAGGCCCAAGATTTTCATCCTTATGTTTTTTGTTTTGTTTTGTTTTGTTTTTTTGAGGAAGATCAGCCCTGAGCTAACATCTGCTGCCAATCCTCCTCTTTTTTGCTGAGGAAGACTGGCCCTGAGCTAACATCTGTGCCCATCTTCCTCTACTTTATATGTGGGACACCTGCCACAGCATGGCTTCACAAGCAGTGTGTCGGTCTGGGCCCGGGATCCGAACCGGTGAACCCCAGGCTGCCAAAGCAGAATGTGTGAACTTAGCTGCTAAGCCACTGGGCTGGCCCCTCATCCTTATGTTTTATGGAGTAATTTTGATGCTGTTAAACCATTGTCTCTCAGCTTCAAATCCACCTTTCTTTGTTCTGGTTTATGAGTTATGATTGGGATACTGAAAGCCACATTTTGCTTTTGTTAGCAGGCTTCTCTTAAATTCATCCAAAAGAGTTGCTAGAGAGATCATGGCTGGTGGAATGAAGATAAGGGACTTGAGCCTCCCTATTTGCTTCTTGTTCCTATCATGGTCACCCCAGCTTTGAGTCTTCACCATGACAATGATAGCTCCCCAGGTACTTCCAGTACTGGTTTCAGTTTTTATTTCTTCTTCCTGTAACCTAGAACCAGTAGCCTATGAGTGCCACCTCCTCAGAGGTTGAATCTGTTGCTCAGCTTTTACTTCTGGCAAATGAATAGCCTTGTCAAGACTGTAGTCTGTCTTGAGGTATCTTTAAAAGCAATGAAATATGCAATTCTCTGCTTGAGAAATGTAGTGAATCAGATAGAGCATAAGCAATACTTTTGGCCAGACTATCATTTTCATACACAACTAAATAACAGAAGGTCCTGGGCAAGACATTTGTATTTCTTCCGCATTTGCCTTCTTGTGTCTAAAATGTAGATTATGAAAATCTCTTTAGTATACTCTAAAATGACATAACAATAATTATATGATCACTTAAAATGAAAACATTTAGTTCACCAAACCCTGAAATACACGTATGAAGGGATAAACTTAGGACCTTGAGAAAAAGAAACATAAGTAAAACTCTTTTCTTTCAACAGTGCATACCTAGTACCCACCTAAGCTCTCTGCTTGGCACACAGTATACTATTTATATAAATTTGCTGAATTAATGCATAAGTATGTAAATATAAGGAATGAAAAAAATCTTCAGGAGGGTACATAAAGGTTTCCAAAATAATTTATCAAGATCATATTATTGGATCCTCATAAGTCTTCAAGGAGCTAATATTTCCCCAACATTACAGAAGAGAAAATCTAGTTCCAGAAATGCAGAAATATCTGAAGTCACAACCAGGATGTGGGAAGTCTTTGATTTGAATAAAACAATTAACAAACTTAACAACTCAACTATTATGAAATACACATTCTTCTAAAACACATATAGAACATGTACAAAAATTGGTATTTTGTTAGGCTGAAAGCAAGAATCAGCAAATTTCAAAGAAACTATATTAAACAGTCGATATTCTCTTAATTAAATTAAAAGTGAGTAATTAAAATTCTCCATAACCTGAGATAATTAAAACTACTTCTAAATGACTAATGTATAGCAGTCATATTCAAAATATTTAACTTCTATGGCAAGTGCCCTAGTAAGAGAATGAATGCCTGCCATAAACTAGCAATGTGGCCATAGTAATATATGCCAGCTAAGTTCCAGCTTTGCTTACAGTTCGAAGAAAAAATTACAACCAAAAAATTAAAACCAGACCTGAGCTTGTACTCATTGGTATAGCTGTACTATACCAATACATATAACAATTCACAGTTAGTGTCCATTCTGACTGATTGGTAGCTGCGCCATAGTCTTTGTAAAATATTTTCAATAACAACCCTGCTAAGAAATGAAACATAATTGAATACCGAAAATTAAAATTTACTGGATACAGAAAAAACAGGGTTTTTCCTTTTTTTTTTTTTTTTTTTAAGATTGGCTCCTAGGCTAACAACTGTTGCCAATCTTCCTTTTTTTTTTTTTAAGGATTAGCACCTGGGCTAACTGTTGCCAATCTTTTTCTTATTTCCCAAACTGCATCTCCTCCCCCCTACATAGTTGTATATCTTAGTTGCACGTTCTTCTAGTTGTGGGATGTGGGACACCGCCTCAATGTGGCCTGACGAGTGGTGCCATGTCCACGCCCAGGATCCAAACCCCGGGCCGCTGCAGCGGAGCGCACGAACTTAACCACTTGGCCACGGAGCCGGCCCCAGGGTTTTTTCTTTTCTTTTCTTTTTAAAGATTGGCCCTGAGCTAACATCTGTTGCCAATCTTTTGTTTTTTCTTTCTTCTTCTCCCCAAAGCCCCCGAGTACATAGTTGTATATTCTAGTTGTAGGTCCTTCTGGTTGTGCTATATGGGACACCACCTCAGCACGGCCTGATGAGTAGTACTAGGTCTGTGCCCAGGATCCGAGCCAGCGAACCCTGGGGCGCCAAAGCAGAGTGCTCAAACTTAAGCCCTCAAACATGGGGCCAGCCCCCCAAAAAACAGTTTTTTGAGGGAAATGTTCATACTTCAATTCTATGGGAAGCTTGGCTTCATAAGGAAGAGAGAAGGAAAGACACACAAAGAAAAGGAAGATAAGGATAAGGAACTATTTAGAAAATTTGAATGCACACTCAATATGCAAGGCATTGTGCTACATATTCACATATAGTTATTTCTTACTAAATTTTCACAATAATCTTGAAATGTATATCTATTTACTCTTAATTTATAGAGGAAGAGACTAAGACTCATAGAAGTTAAGATCATACAGATTTTAAGTGAGAAAGCTGGTTTTCAAACCATTGTCTTGAGTCTAAAGACATTATTTCCTTTACTGCCTACTCTTGAGGAGGGAAATATCCTGAAGTCCATTTGCATCTGAATCAGGAAAATGAATCCAAAAACATTAGAGGGCAAGAAAGCTAAGATATCCTAACTCAATTTAACCTCAGAATTTCTCCACTTAACTGGATATAAAGATGAATTCAGGGGACTATGATGATCAAGTCCTCGGTGATTGTGGCAAAGACCATGTATAAGAGTAGATAATACTTTGACTTGGTCTTGAGCCCAGCATTGCACCATTGTCCTGAGAAACTCATTGATATCCCCTACTTACAAGTAACAGACAGTAATCACCAGGAACCAAGTGTTTTAACCAACCATAAAATTGCTAAATAAACCTAGGGTCATGGGTTTTCAGTGTGATACACTTTAGGGAAGATGAATTTTTAGTGTGCAAGAATTTTCAGTTTATCAAGGGAAGCAGAAAATACTACAGGTTAGGAGCCTGAATGTAAAGTCAAACTGTTTATATAGGAATCACACCTCCACATCCACATTACTTTAGACTACTGTAGCCTACACAAGTAATATAACTTCTCTGAACCTCAGTTTCTCATCTGTTGTGAGGATTAAACATACCAGTTCATTCATCCACATTTTACAGGACTTCTCTCATTCTATAGAAAGGGCCTTAGTTTGAAATACCAAAGAGTTGGAGGAAAACGGAGAATTCAACTATAACTTGGGTTGCTTGTAGTAATAGTGGATTACCAGGTTGATGGCATCTAGCCAGTATATAAAGATGCATATTTAAACACTAATGATGGACATTCCATTTGATGCTGTAGCTGGTGTGATTTTTGAGGCAAATATTAGTGGTAATCACTTTGCAGTATAAGAGAAAAGCAGAGCAACCATTACTAACCACACTCCACTTTTTAGGGAAGAAAGAAGCAGAAAAACTAAAGGGAGAGGCAAGTAGGCACCCAAGAGGTACAAAGAGAGGCATGGCTATGTAGAGTCACCAAGAACACAAAGGGAGAGCCTCAAGAAGCCTGAAAGGGAAAATCTTAACCCCAAGAAAAGAAATTGGAGATATGGACATTGGCAATAACAGAGACATTAATACGAAGAGAGACTACAGCCCAGTTAGTTCAGGAATGGCTCCTGAAGGGCAGGCTGGAGAGTCACCAGTGGTAAATCTAAAGTTGTCATAGGATCAGTAGAACCCTAAATAAAGATAAAAGAGCAACAAATTTACAGGGAAATTCTTATGACTATCTCTGAACAATACCCATAAGGTTTCCAGAGAAATGGGAAAAAAAAGGAAGAGCCCTCTTGCCTGTTGCAGTTTAATTAAAAATGAAGCCACCACTTCAATAACTAATGTCTTCTGTAGCTCAGGGAAGGGAACACACTAAACATCACATGTTGCAGACACATTCAATCCTCATAAAATCCTGAAGATATACACGATTTTATACAATAAGGAACATCTAGTCTATAAAAGTTATACAATTTGCCCTAGATCACACAGCTAGGAAGTGGCACACAGGGGATTGGAGCTCTAAACAGACTCCAAAATTCATATACTTCCCATCACCTCATCTTACATCTCAACTTTTTTGACTGCTAAAAGACATTCCTATCCATCTCTTTAGCAAATAGACAAAGGACAATTTTCAACTCTATATGACCTCTAGTCATGTAAAACATGATGGTTCCGAAGAGGCCAGCCAACCTAGGAAGACATCATTTCTTTTCTACTGCTATCTCATAGCCTGGCAATCTCCTCTCACAAGAATATAAAACACAGTCTGATATTTACAGTGAGTAGGGAGCCACATCTCAGATAACATCATTAAAAGTTGACTGACCTACTTCTGTCATATTAAGGTACAAATAGGTTACATAGGGATGGGATCCCATGTGCTTGCAACAGGCTACAGTCAGGCTTGTTAAACTAAACTTGGAACTTTTTAACAACACTCTTCCCATCACAAGTTATCTAGAGGGAATCTGGTGCTGTTCCTAGG